CACTGACAGAGCCCCAGAGGTAATTTTTACCCCAAGCTGCTGTCCCCCTGAATCTTGGGCTTTTCTCTGCTTGTAACCACACACTCTTTGCTGTGGATCATCCCCATCAATCTAGCCTTTGGGAATGTGCACCCAGCTCACAGCACCTTGCCATCATGTTTGTGGTATCTGATGATGTCACCTTGGTCTCACTTGATTGACCATGGATGCACATCTGCTCCGTACATGGCCAATTAGATTCTCTCTCTAGGAGTTAGAACTGGGAGATGGTTGGACACATCCTGAGCTGGTCCCTGGAACAAGGGAGATGTGACCCTCCGTGCTGGTGGGATGGTCATGTCCACAGGGAATGGGCAAAGCCTGGCTGCAGAGGGAGATGGAAGGGACCCCTATTCAGAGAGGTGACAAAATACGCAGAAAGTACTGCCAGGGAGTTGACACCCTTCCAGGACCAGTTCTAGTCCATTGAGGGTCTTGGCTGTCCTTGAATTCCACAATAACCCATTATCCTACCAAGAGACCCCCTTCTCTGCTTAAGCTAACTTCAGTGGCTTTCTGTTGCTTGCAACTTCAACTGATCAAGATCTTACCCCAGACTTACCCCTCAAAGAGTTGCCTGCCAATGTAAGGTGTGGAGCTCACCCTTGGACTCTTCCTCTCCCACAAGTCAAGCAAATCCATCCCACTGAGGTCCTGGGGGATCACATGATTGGCACCTGGCAACAGAGAGGTGTCACCATCTTTCCCATCCTTTTGATTCCTCTTTCTAAGCCATGCATGTCATAAGACGGTACCCCCGTATCTCCTGGACTCAGATTGTTCATGGTCTTTGATGCCGAATTGAGGCTCAATGACTTTCTGTAGCTGCTAAAGGGGTGTGGCAGGAACAAGCAAGAAGCCGGAATTCCCCAGCCTTGGCTCATGATGTCCGGCTCAAAAAGCCTCCAGTGAAAACAACTGGTGAGAAGACATTGGTGTGAGTTCAAGACCCATTGGTCCAATGGCAGCCTTGTTGAGATAGGAAGAAAGACCTTGATTTTTGCTTTGAATGATTAAGCGTTCATGACCATCTGGTGTGACCCCACCATTCTGCAAACATGTGTGTGGTCCTCCCGTCAGTCCACTCTGGTTCCAGGAGAGCCAGCAGACAGAGGGATGGAACCTCTCCAGTATGTCCTGACCAGTCCCGAGCGTTCCTTTTTCCAGATTGGGCTTCATTATGACCAGAAGGCTCTTTTCCTTTGTCTCAGACTCTCCATGACTTAACTCCTGCCTGGGTAGCAAACAAGATCCTTTGCTAGGATTTCCAGGGATATAAGTGGCCAGTCCTTTCTCAGGAGGACTCTTGGGTGCATCTTGGTCCTTTCCCATCCAGGACCTCCCAGAAGCCCACGTTGCCCATGACACACCATTTTATTCAAATTTAAATGTGATTTTTTGGAAATTACAGTCTATGATTGCACAATGATGGAAAAATTGATGGAAATCAAACCTCTCTCTTTATACTTTGTTGGCCCTAATAACAATAATATTAACTAATACTTGCTAAGTGCCAGGCCCTGTTCTGACTGTTTCCTGTATATTAACCATTTAATGCCCATGACAGCTCGCAGGGGAAAGAGGCCATTTTCATCACCCCATTTTATAGATGGGGAGCTGAACACGAGGCCAAGCTCAAGACTGGAGGATCTGAACTCAGCCCAACTGGTTCCAGATAATAACACCAACCAGCAAACTACAGACTCAGTCTCAGCCTACCCTTTGGGTAATCCATCCTGGAAGTCAGATGCAGCTCAGAGAGGTCAGGTGACTTGAGCAGAGACACAAAGCTGGTGCATGCTGGAATTCAAACTCATTGGTCTAGATGCTCCTTCCACTGGACTACCTAGTTAGCTACCTAGGGAGGATTGGTGACCTTTTATTGGGCATCTGCTCAAGGCCAGGCACTATCTGTGTTTTCATATATTTTGTCTGTTTTAAAATCTGGAGAGGATTGAGGGGAAGGTTTAGCTCAACTGGTAGAGCACATGCTTAGCATACACAGGGTCCTGGGTTCAATCCCCAGCATCGCCTCTAAAAATAAAATAAGTAAGTAAACCTAATTACCTCCCCCCAACAACAACAACAACAAAATCTGGAGAGGATCTAAAACAGATCTGCAAGTTCTTTGATCTCAGCCTATTGCAGAGTATGATCTGTGCCCTCTCTCCTTGACCCTAGACAAGCTCTGTGGTTTGACCAAGAGGTCATGGATCTTCTGCCTGGTTGTCCTGGGAGGCTTGCTCTGGGGGAAGTAAAAAGACAACCCTGAGACTGCCTTCCTGGAAAGGCTGTGTGGCGCTCTTACCACATGGGTGACCCAGCTTGGATGTCCAGCCTAGTCGAGCCTTCAGATGTCTGCAGCCCCAGCCAGCATCTAACTACAACCATGCAAGAGACCCCTAAGGAAGAACCATCCAACTTGGTCTATCCCAGATTCCTGAACTATAGAACTCTGAGAAAAATAAAATGATTGTTTTAAGCCACTGCATTTTGGGATATGCAACAACAGGAACCATAGCATCCCATTTGAGAAATGCTAGCCCTCCTGGGATGTTAAAGAGAAATGCAGTAGCTCAGAAATGCCCAAGTAGGTTCACACTGCAACAAACCCAGATCCCTGTTCCCCTCAGGCCACCTGGTTTAGGGGCCAAGGACATGGGTGTGAGTGATTGCTGAAAGTCAGCGTGCAATGCTGGGCACAGTCAGATGCCAGGCCATGGAGGCTTTGTGGGGCAAATGAGAAGCAGGGGGACAGATAAGGAGAAGACCATGGAGGAAGAGGAAAGGAGAAACAGGGAGAGGAGGAGGTAGGGCTCTGGAAGTTCCATGGTGTGCAGGGTGCTGGGGCAGCAGCTGCCAGGCTGGACAGGAGTTGATAGCTCGGCTGGGGGTGACATTATAGAGGAATGCCCTCAGGTTGCAGCTCTGCCAACAGTGCCCCTGGGGCACCTAGGCTGGGAATGGTGTCCCCAAAGCTATTTAAGACCAGCGAGGAGCCTGTAGAATTGCCACAAACGGAGACGGAAGCTCCATTTCATTATTGACTGCCCCTGTCCCCACCCCCACCCAAATGCTGGGCTCATAAGAGATCGGATCCTACGTAGTTTCCGTTCCTGTCTGCTGGAGCGGGGACCACTTTATCCCACTCCCCTGCACCCAAGGTTTAATGGTACATAGGGGGCAGCAGCTGAGTGGGCAAGAGCATGAGTTCAAATCCTGGCTCCTCCACTAGGGAGCTGTGTGACCTTGGGAAAGCTTCTTACACTCTCTGTTTCCAGTTTCCTGACGATGACAGTAGCAGCCTCAGAGGGCTGTTGGAAGCAGAGGAGTTTGCTTCTGGATGATGTTTATGAGTCATCTGTTGTTAATACATATCTCTTCTCCCCTTGGGTTTGTGCTTTGTCAAACTGAGGACTGTTCTGCAACAGTCTGTTTTGTTCACCACTAAATGCCCCAGTGCTTGGAAAAAGAGCTTGGTACAGAGCAGGTGCTTTAAAAGTATTGGATGAATGAATGTGGAGCTGAGAACGATGCTTCAAAAACTGAAAAAAAGAAAAGTAAAAGACATGAAAAGACATGAGAGGAAAGTTCAAAAAGAAGAGAGAGGAGAACTACTTTCTGTCTGCTTTGAGCTGCACCAAAATTTTCAAGAGCTTCCAGCTTTCCTGGCTGATCACTGAGGTTCTTCCCTCATCTTTGCCTCATCCACTCTCCATCTTTGTCCTCACCTCCATCCCCACGGTGTGCTCCGACCTGTCCAGATGCCTTGGACTCTGAGGTCCCGGGGGGGCTTCTCTGTGCCTGCTCACTGCTGTGTAGCACAAGGGCTGGTGTAGAGTGACTGGATTGGGGTGTGGAGGGGGTTGATGATGAGTGAGCTGATTCCAGTGTCTTCATGCAGGAATAAGCAACATGGTGAGGACAGGCCTCTACCTTGGGGCACCAGCGCCACCTACACACAGTACGTTCACACTATGTGACTGAGTGGGGAGCACAGACGAGTCCTTTAATTCCTGTAGCCTTGGTTTCTTCACCTGTCGACAAGGGCCTTGGCTTTACATCTCTCAAAGGTGATTTCTTCTGGCTCTAAGTTGATTTAAGTGTTTACCTGCACAGGTTATAGATGTTAAATGCCAGTGAGCAAAATGTAGAAAGCAAGGTATGAACGTGTACTGTCTGCTATGGGAATTGGGGGATTCTCTTCTCCAAGCCTTAGTTGTCCAGTCTGTGAAGTGGGATCTTTTTCACCTCACTGAATTCCTGTGAACATGTATGGGGATAATGATGGTAAAGTGTTAGCCTGAACCTCAGCTTTGCTGCCTTCATCCAGTAATGTCTCCAAGTCTTCCTTTCTTAATCCGCACACTGGGAATTTGTGTGTGTGTGTTGTGTGTGTGTGTGTCAGGGTGGCAAGAGTGAAGTTTTCTATCCACGTGTAGAGGATGGAAATAAATTTAGCAAGTGTGTATTCTACACCGTAGTTGGTGGAGTCCACGCCCTTCCCGATTTCATTTGCTTCAGTCCTCGGGAGGTCCCCTCCCTATTCCCATTTTCCAGTTGAGCCGCAGAGAAATGGAATTTGGTAAATTTGCAAATCCCCGGTGGAAAAGTGCTTGGCACCGCATCGGGTGCATGGTAAGCGCTCAGTGTAAACAATACTTTTATGGTCACGATGAGGAAACTGAGCATGTCCTCTTCTCAAGCAGAGTTCTTGGGACGCGGGTGATCCTGCCCTCCCGGCAACACCCCTTGCCCGGACCCCAGGCGCCCGCGCCTCCTGGTGTCCTCTGGGCTCTGGGGCGTGGCGAGCCCGGGAGGGGCGGGGTGGGCCAGAGTAGAGGCGGCCTGGGCAGGGCGGGGCCGGAGGGGCAGGGGCGGAGCCACAACGGTGCGGCCCTATCAGCGCCGCCGGCATCTGCGGAGGCGAGGCTTCTGGGCTCCGGACCGTCTACAAGAGGCGGCGCGCTGGGTCCCCCGACCCACTGAATCCCTCGGCGGTTTGGGTGTCCTCTGTCCGGCGACCTGTCCCTGTGCCCGCTGTGCCTGCCCTGCCGCCGCGGCCACTCCACGCAGGAGACGCCGGCGACTTGGTAGTTGGAGCCCCTCGAAGGTAAGTGTGACTTAGAGTCTTCTCTGCAAGGTGCGATCCGCTCCCGCAGTCTCCGAGGAGCTAAAGTAACCAGAGCAGATGCCGTCTCTTAGGGCTTACGTACTGTGTGCAGAGACTAAGCTGAGCGCGCCACCTTCATCTCAGAACCATGCTCAACAACATGATCTTCCATAGATGGAGAAACTGAGGCTCAGAGAGGACAAGTTGCCTGAGACCTCCTATGCAGGAAGCGAGGGAGCTGGGACTCAAAGCCAGTCTGACTGCCAACTCGTGCTCCCTAAGGCTGTGTACTCTTGCCTTCCTTATGCAGTTCTCTAGCATGTGTTGCGTTCCTGTGTCCCAGTGAGCGTAGCGTCAATAAATGGAAAGCTGATGGTGTGGATGTGGCTGGATTCTGAATGTGTTCTACCCTTATATGGAGGGCTGCGGTGATCCTAACGGTGTGAGCATTCTGCTCCGCAGTTTACAGGGCCACGCCCCTTTGTGATTTAGTTTGCTAAAAACCTGCAAAGGTAGTCTTCCTCTTTCTGCATTTCAGATGAAGACACTGAGAGAGAGTTGAAGTGAGTTGTCCAGGCAGAGAAGAAGCTGGAACCCAATTCTGCCTGTCTCCAAAGCTCCATATGGATGTAGATGTATCCAGGTGTGGGGTTATGTCAGAGTTCCAGCAGGTTTGGGAATAGTTCTTAGGTGTCTTCAGCCAGGGTAGATATCTGCATAAACTTCTTGTGGGGGAAGAGTTGTGCTGGGACTATTGTTCTGTGATCTGAAAACTCAGCCCTGGGGTCTAGGGAGATTGGCTGCCCCAGGTGAACCACAGCCAGCTCCTTGTACAGTGCGGACCAAGAGCCTCCCTTGAAAGGGCTGGACTGGTGGACAAGCCAGGAAAGGCTTAGCTGATGCCTGTTCTTCAAAGTCTAATTTAAATCGGATGTCTTTTAGTCAGAAGGTGAGTTGGGGCTCTGGTCAAGAGAAGCAGCTGGGAGCCTGGCAAGTGCCCAGTTCTCACCTTCCAACCAAGGGTAGGCTTGTGAGTTTCTGCCTTGAGACTTTAGGCTCCTTGCCCTGGCAGAATAGGGTAAGCCTGCCTTTCCCAGCGTGGTCAGGGCATCTGAAATTTAGAGCCTGACAGCTGAGAGACCAGGATGTGAAGGACAAGAAGGGCATCCCCCCTACCCCAAATAGACCAAGAGGGGTGTGAAGTCGTTACCCTAGGTCTGTCTGCCTGCACTTCACCTACATACACACTTAATGTCTGGGTCCTGCCTCCTTTAAGACATTTCTCTGCCCAACTGCTAACTCCACCTCTGAACCTGACCTTCAACAAGGAATCATTTTGTGAGAGTGGCTCCAGATAAAACAGCAGTCAGCAGAGTTGAGCCTTAGCCCAAGTCCCTGGCGATGCATCCAGGGAGGAGAATGAAGAGAGTGATTTTGATTTTTACAGTGTCTTAAAAAGTAAGAGTAGGAATAGTAATGATAACTTTGTAATCCTACCAGCAGCTGGCGTTTTCTCTGGCTTTTACTGTGGGCCAGACATGCCCGGAGTTTTACAGGGATGACCCAGCTCACTGACTTCTTTATGAGCTGGGCACTGGATTGTCCTTGTTTTTCACAAGGAGGAAATTGAAGTTCAGAGTGGTTAAGGCACATCCCTGATACAACACAGCCAGGGTCGGGGAGAGCTGCTATTCTGGCTGGGCCCCACCCCAGATCCTAGAAGAAGATGCTGGTCCCAGGGCCACATGGCTGTCAGTGCAGAGCTGGCTGCTGGGCAAGATTTCTCATGCCATGTGGGGTCTGATCCCTAGCCCCAGTTAGAGGGTGGCCCTTGAGAGGGGATGTGCTGACAGGGGGACTTGGGATCCACTCTGCCGACAGGTACCTGTATCACTGTGCAGAGCACCCTGCTGGGGAACCCAGAGCAATGCTAGTTCCCACAGTCCTGCCTCTGGACTAGAAAGGAGAGCAGACTCGATGGGGGAGGGGCTGGAGCCGCAACAGAAGAGCGTGAGGCCACTGAAAGCCCCCACCCTTCATTCCTGCCTCAGAGACCCCATGATGGATATCTGCTTTTTTGATAGGTTGCATTTGAAAACTGGCTTTTAAAGGCAGGACCCCCAAATGCTGACCTCTTTGGCCTTGTGTGAGCTGAAACTTCTTTTCTCTGTCACCAGGGCAATTTACTGTGTATAGGAGGTGCCTCTGTGTCTGCTTGCTCCCGACCTAGGAGGCTTCCCCCCCCATTTTTTTTTTTGCAAACTCACTGGTTTTTGATCAATCCCAGATGTGCAAACCCAGCATCACTCAAAGGGGCTGATGGCTTGTCAAGAAAGGAAAGTACAACACAGGCGTCATCTCATCTTTAGTTCATTGAGCTGAATAGAGGCTCAGACCTTCATGGGATGGGACATCTGGAGCCCCTCATAAAGTCCTAAATGGAGCACACTCTGTTCTGGAACAGGGAGGGTCAGGCAGATCTGGATGGTGTCTGGTGGGGCCAGCCATGCTCTTTTTCTTTTTTTTTTTTTCTTGGGAAAAAAATTGTTTATTGTGGTAAAATATCCATAAACTTAAGATTTATCATTTTAAAGTGTACAGTTCAGTGGCACCGCATACATTTGCAGTGTTGTACAACCATCACCACCACCTAATTCCAGAACATCTTCATCATCCCGAAAGGACACCCCATAAGCATTACTAGCAATCACTCCCCATTCTCTCCTCCCCAGCCCCTGGCAACCACTAATCTGCTTTCTATCTCTGGATTTGTTTATTCTGGACATTTCACACACATGGAATCATACAGTGTGTAGCTTTTTGTGTCTGGCTTCTCTCACTGAGCATTTTTCAAGGTTCATTAATGTGGTAGCCTGTGTCAAGGCTCCATCCCTTTTTATGACTAAATACTATTTCAGTGTATAGATAGGCTAGGTTTTGTTTTTTCATTCTTCCGTTGATGGAAGTTTGGGCCATTTCCACCTTTTGGTTATTGCATATAATGCTATTAACATCTGTGTGCACATCTTTGTTTGAATACCGGTTTTCTGTTGTTTTGGGTCTACCCCTAGAAGTGGAATAGCTGGGTCACTTGGTAACTCTGTTTTTACCTTATTAAGGAACACGTATCCTCTTTTCTTGACTTCCCTCTTGAAGAAGCATCAGCTGAGGTCATCTCATTCTGGACTGGGTCAAGGCCCTCTTCCGTGGGTGCAGGGTAATCTGGCATCTGAGTGTTTTGAGGGAGGTATTGACAGGCTCCCTGGGAAAGCCACTGGCAGATAATCCTGTTGGAGACATTGCCCTGGGGGAACCCTGCTTTGTACCCCAGGTTGTGCAGTTGTGGGTACTCATGGACTGATACCCCCTCTCTCCCCAAGGCTATGAGGACAGACAGTTTCTTGTGGTCCAGCCTGAGGGAGATTTATCTTCTCTGATTGTCTCAAATGCTGCGTCAGCTTAGACAAAAACCACAGATTCAGGGGGGTGTCTGAATAAGGATTATGCAATTATTGGACCATCATCTTTAAAAATATTATAAATTATGAAATCCCACATTTTCAATCCAGGCTTCTGAACCTTGTCCCATTGGGAGTAAAGGATAGTAAAATCCCAGAAGGAAAAAGACTCAAGCTTCCATTTCATTTGTGGTCAAGTGGTCCCAGAACTGACCCTGCCCCAGAGTTCTTTTGGATTGGAAAAAATCCTGGATCTCTCTAGAACTGGGAACTGGCATGCAGCTGGCAACCACTGAGACTGACTTGATAAGATCCTAGAAGTCCTTTGAGAGCAGAGGCAGTGCAGTCTGGCAAGGAAAGGGGACAGTGAGTGGGTGGGACGTTGGGGAGGATGCACTAAGGAGAGCGACCATGTGTGTTCAAAAGCCTGGAGCTGCAGAGAGGCCTGGCACCCTGAAAATGACAGGAAGTTTGGGGGTGGCTAGAGTCTAAGGGTCAAGCTTGGGCAGCAAGTGTCTGCCCGGCAGTCGGGTGAGCCGTTCTGAATTTGGATTTCCTACTGTGGGCTGCAGGGCACAGGAGAGTCCCTGAGAACAGATCACTGTGGACTGATCAGTGTCCCCCAGAGTGTGGGGAGCTCATCCTTGCTGGTCCCCAAGGAGACTGAGCATGTGTACTGACCCAGTGGCAAAGGCCTCCAGCCCAGGATCTGTTCTCCCACCTCTCTATTACTGGCTGCCTTCTGCCCTAATGTATCCCTCCATTGTGACCTCCCTTTACAACAAAGAAAGAGTGCCCTCTACAACAAAGCCTTTGGCCCTTATCAGCACCCAGCCGGGAGGTCCCAGGTCTGTTCTGATTCCATCATGTATAATTTTCCTCCTGCCTTCCATTCATGGCAGAAGTGATTGGGTTCCCTATACACGATGAGGCTAGAAGGTTCCCTTTCTAAAGTAAATGTCTTTGAACACCCCCGCAAAGCGAGCCAACTTAAATAAAATAAGAAATGTGAACTAGAGCAGATAGATAGTAGGAAGGTGGGCAAAGCTTGGGAAGGGGGTGTGCCAAGGGCTGGGATTTGGGAAACGCTGGATTAAGGTGTGGCATGAGAAGATTTGAGAGGCTGTCAGCATCTAAAGCAGTGGGTGTCAAAGTGGGGTCCCCAGACCAGCAATGGCACCTGGGAACTTGTCAGAATGCTGCCCCAGACATCCTGAAGCTATGAGGATGGGGCCAGCAATCTGCTTTAATGAGGCCTCCAGCACTTTCTGGTGAGGGCTGCAGTGTGAGACCCACTGCCTTAGAAAGGCAGTGAAGAGTTGCCCTGGGCCCTGGCTCCAGAATGGGGTAGGAGGGGGCTGGCTGATGGGGGTGGAAGGTTCTGTTTACAGGACGTGGTGTGGCCAGAAAGAAATCACGTGGCAAGAATGGAGGGAGTGGCTTAGGAGCTGAAATGACCTCTTCTCTCCAGAGTCGAGGACCCTGAGAACAAGTTCTTGGTGTGTTCTTAGACCTTTCTTCCGGAAGAACACATTTTGCTCTGGGGCGTGAGCAAGTGTCCTGAGGGTTCCAGCATCTTCCTTCAGGGTGTGTTTTGTGACCCCTGTGCCCAGAAGCTTAGGAACTATGTCTGTTTGTAACCCCTAGGTGCCCCCTGGAATGAATGGGTTGTTTCCTCCATGGCACTTAAAATCTGTCTGTGTGTACATCGTACATTGTCTGCCTCCTCTCTCTCTCCCGCCCCAAGCTGGCTCCCAACACAGCCAGTCTGTTCTCATCGGGGGAAGCACCAGCTGCTTTAAAAACACTGTTTATTCCCAGGAACCTTCAAGGCTGGGCTTCATGGGGACTGAAGATATTTTCAGCTTTGGCATCGCTGGACAAAGTGCCCTCTCAGACGGGGGATGAACTGGGCCCTGTCTGGGAGAGTAGATGTCTGGCCCAAGTGGGAGGCCCTGGCCGCACAGGGCTCTATCTGAACTTTCAAGTTCACTTTGAAGGGCTGTCGGAGACCAGCCCCAGACTTGTCCCCCTGCTGAGACTCCTGGGGAGAACCCTGGAGGGTTTTCTCTTGCACAGTAGTGTTCTCCTGCTTCTCTGGAGACATTCTTCCAACAAGGCCAGAGCTTTTTAGACTTTGACTTTTTTCTTAAGCTTTTTATTAAAGTTCA